AAGTCAAGTGGTTTTTTTAAAGTCAATGCTATGTGATTGTTCAATCATCATCTTTTGTTAACGGACTACAAAAATCAAACAGAAAGATGACATTTTCTAACGTCATTCTTAGCAAAAGGGGTGATTTGTGAATCTATGTAGTGAAGGGGCTGATTTACCAGTGTTTTAGGTACAGAGGCTGATCTGCCACAACATTGTGAGTACAAGGGCTGAATTGCACGTTCTGCCTCGTTTAACTCAAGTTCCGAAATGAGGTTGATATGATATAAATATACACAGGGTCCGGTAATAATAATACCCATTTAATTACCAGACCCATGTGGCCCAAGTGGCCCAAGGGTGATCCGCACCATCTTCAATCGTTTGAGTAGGGCTGGGCATGGTACGAAATGGTAACCATACAGTACTCAAATGATGATAATCGTTTTAAGTGATAATGAAAAAGAGTTATCACTTTCATATCAATTGATGATTTTTTAGTAATGGTTACCAACCATTTTTAATGATAATGAAACTTGCTTTACCAATACCATACTATATTACCATCTTAAAACTTATTTTTTTTATTATTAATTAATTCAAGTCATTCAAAATTTAACCTTAAAAGTTTAAAATTATCTTAAAAACTTATTTTCCCCATACCGTTCTTCATCATCTTGAAGCATGCAAATATATAATTATACAAAACATGCACACATCAAAAAAAAAAAAAAGAGAACTAACAACAATTGAAAACTTTGTAGAATAAAAAAAAAAGAGAAAAAAGTTTTGAATTAGTGGTAAATTTGGTAACCATATAGTAAAAATGGTAATAACTTCCAATATTAATACCGTACCATAGGTCTAAATGATATTGTCATATTACCATTTAGATTTATCATATGATAATTTACCATACCGTTTCCGCTGACAATGAGACGATACAATAGTAATTATGACATTTATAGTATAGTACCCAACCCTACTTTTGAGCTTCTCTACTGACAAATACTAACACAGTTACTAACCAATTCCTATTGTAAAATAATAATAATAATAATAATAATACTCATTTAATTTGTCTTTTGCGGTAGCAGAATAAAGCTCATGTAATTATTATTTTATTGATGCGTAGGAAAGATCTTGGGCTGCCTAAGGAGTTGTTTTGGGTAAAGCCCAACTCATTACGCACCCACTAATACCTTCCATTTTTCTTTTCCTTTTATTCGTGAAGGCCCAATAAGTAGAGAAACCCAGAAAACAGACCCAAACGGCAAAACTTAAAAAATAAAAAAAAAATTATAAGGAAATGAGAAATCGCATTATCCGTTCAATGGTTCTGGTCCAGTATGTGTCTTCTTCTGCCGCCGTCAACAGCCTCGGCAACGCTGAAGCTAAGATGAGATGAACGCTGAATTCCTCGTTTCGAGATAAGGCAGAAGAACCCCACGTCTGACTCTTCTTGCGTAAGCACGTCTGTATTTAATGACCCTGCTCTGTGTAATTGATTCCCACCTCTGAATTTTATTGGGGGTTCTTGTTTCTTGATTAAAGTTTTCGGTTTTGCATTCATTCAGTGAGTGTTATGAGTATGACAACAAAGGCTGCTGCTCCCCTGGGTTCCACCGACGGTAAACCCCAAACCACCCCAGGTCTGGTTTCTCTCGTATTCGCTATGCTATTTACTTTTCTTTGATTCTATGAAGGCCAAACCCCGTATTTAGGCCCTGGACCATTATTGTTTTCTGGTTCACAGCCTCCAAAGTAAGCCTTCCATAATTTTAAACCCGTAAAAAATCAAAATTAACAAGTAGGTCGCGTGTAAGTTAGGGTACGAATAAGTGGTTTGGTAGTTAACGTTTGGGTTTTTTATGGGTTTCAAATTCTGGAGGGTGTTGATCAGGAGTGAAAATTTTTGAAGGGTGTTGACAATGGAAAACAATAATGTCCAAGGTGCAAATTGAGGGTTGGCCTTGTATGAAATACCCTTGTTGAATTTTGAGTAATTAGGTTGAATGAGACTGTAAAGGAATTTGCTGTGGGGATTCATCTCCTATTTCACTTTTAAGAACCATTTCATCCTCAAGCTTTAGCTGTTAGGCTAGGGCCTTGGAGTAATCTTGATCTCTAATATTCACAATGACTGATTCTAATTGCTAATATTCAATGAGTTAGTTTTAGCTCTATTGATTATAGACTTAGGACTGGACATTTATATCATGACAACAATTCCTTTTCCTTCACTTGTTTCTTTTTTGGTACATTTGAAGAAAGCAAATTAGCTAATCAATGGTGTAGAAATGCCACACCTAACACATCCCCTTCTAGGAAAGCATTCTTTCCAGGCTGAGGGGAGTCAAAAACAGTAGTACCAACTGGTAAACTGTGCCCAATTCCAGCCGAAAAATCTGCAGCTGAGTTGCCTTCACAAGGCGTGTGTTGGATGATAAGAGAATCAAACTCAGTTCAAAGCCTTTGAATATCAGAACACAAGGACCGCTGCTAAGCTATCCTGCTCCTTCAGGACATTAATAACCTGTACTGTGGGTAATGAGTCCCTCTCCACAATTAGATGCTCAAGTCCTGAATAAAAGCACCTGCCTGGTCACATGTCACCCCACCAGCACTTGTAAACCCAGTCTCCTGTATTCTAGAACCATCTGTGCTTAGTTTACAAAAGGGTGGGTCTGGTGGAAGCCAACTTATCCATCTTGGATCTCTTGTCTTGACAAAATATTGCAAGCTATTGCCTTGTATGTATCCCGTGCACAATCAAAAATTCTATGACAAAGTTTAACAGCTGGTAGATGGTCACCGTTAAAAATGAAACGGTTCCTGCACTGCCATAATTGCCAAATGGTGGAGAGAAAAAGAATATCATATGAAATTTTTCCTGTCTGCACTTTAGATGCTTTCTTGGGGGAGCTTTTGAGTTTTGATCCATTGCTGCCAAGGTAATTGGAAAAACTTGTGGTTGCCCAATCCCAGCGTGGCCCATACCTGAGTTGCAAAAGGACAATCCCTCGAGGTGCAGGGAAGTTTCTGGCTTATCACCACAACGAGGACATGCCAGAGTCAGGTCCAAGTGGTGCTCAAATCCAACAGCATTAGTTAAAGCTCTGTTTCGCAAAAGCAGCCAGATAAACACCCTAACTCTCTCAGAGCAGTGCAGCTTCCACACCCATATCCATATCCAGTTCTGATCTTAAAGTGGTATTGGTGCTTTTTGCAATAGGATCTGATGAAATGCTGATTTAACAGAAAAGAAACCATCCTCGGAAAATTTCCATACTATCTTGTCCTTTTTCTTCACTTGTGCTGTTTGTTATGTATATAAAAAATTAAGAACAAGTTTAAGATGAGAAAGAAATAGTTTTATATCCAGCTCTAACTCTATAGTCAAAATTCTTCTATGCAGAACCTGTCCAGCAAGTAAATGAGGCTCAGCAAGATGCTAGGCCAGAAACTGTTAAACAAATTTCACCACCATCTGTTTTTGTGAATTCTGAACCAATTCGGGAGGAGCAGGTACAGAATGCTGTAAAATTCCTTTCACATCCCAGAGTTAGGGATTCTCCTGTCATCCACAGGCGCTCGTTTCTCGAGAAGAAGGGCCTTACAAAGGAGGAGATAGATGAAGCTTTCCGGCGCGTGCCTGTATGTTAATTTTTCTTGGTTCACTAGTTTTATGTAACATGATTTATGAAGAATTCCTGTCCTTTTCTGACATATTTTTGCAAAATCAGGACCCACCTCCAAGTTTGCAGCCATCTAGCACAAATCAAGGTAATGAATTTTAGTTATATACTGGGAATAACCCTTTTCAATTGGTTAGTCCTTCAGTTCAACCAATGTTTGTTTGATTCTTGCATTATTCATGGTATCTTATGTGTATCATAATGTGAACAGATGGGCAGATGAAGCCCACATCAAATGTTCAGACACAAGTTCCCCAGCCTGCAGCAGCTGCTCCTGGTGCTGTTGTTTCCCGTGTAGGGACTTTATCTCCATCACGTTTTCACTGGTATCATGCCCTTCTTGCTGTTGGGTTACTAGCTGCATCGGGTGCTGGAACAGCTGTATTAATTAAGGTACCTATAAGAATCTCTTCCATAATGAACATAATTTTCTGGATATATTAGTGCCTAACTTTGTATCAATGTCAAGCATATGAATAAACACTAGGATTCAAATTCAGATTATTTATCTCTTAATTGTTTAGAATGCAATTGTCCCCCGGCTGAAATCTTGGATACGTAAAGTTGTATTAGAAGAAGAAGATGATCTTGTGAAGAAAACCAACTCAAAACCAAGTTTGGCTGAAGAAGCAGCAGCTGCAGCAAAAGCAGCTGCTGCTGCAGCGACTGATGTTGCAAAGGCAAGCCAGGAGATGTTGAATTCGAGAAATGAAGGTGGATTCTGTTGGCTGTTAACCTATAGTTTTCTCCTGTAAATATCTGGGTTTCATTTAGTTTTTATTTATTTATTTATTCTATCAGTCATTTCTTTTACTGAGTTACAATGTTTGTGTTTACCAAAACTTGTTTTATCCTGTACAGAGAGGAGACATTTTGAAGAATTGATGAAATTGTTAGACATGCAAGTACGAGAAATGAAGTCAATGAGTAATTCCGTACAGAAATTGGAAGGTAATAAGATGTTGCTCTTTAGTCAAACAAGCAGTTCTATAAAACTCTTGGGCTTCAGTTCTGGAAATATTTTCTGTTTTCTGTATTTCTAACACAGCATGATGAAGATTTCATTGCTACCAGTAAGTGGGGTGTGTGTGTGTGTATTTATATATACTTGTTTATTATTGTGAGGGTTCTAGGTTTGTTTTTGTAAGCTGAGGGAGAGAAGTAGAATCATTTTCAATCCTGTGTTAGGTTTACTCCCCTAATCCCTCAACCATCAGCCTTCTGGCTCATAATTAAATCAAGGCTTCTGCATGACAGGCTGCTTGTAGTTGGGATTAGTTTGCTCTGTTTTTTTTTTTTTTTGGTACATCAGAAAATTAGTTTAGCTCTGTTGGGAAGTGGTAACGACTTTTTTTTCTAATCAACAGGACATGTTAATGGCACTGGGAGGACTAATTCTGTTGATCAAGAAGATTATAGATTCTCAAATTCTATTTCAAAGGTATGCTGAAAATAGCTGTAGACTACAAATGCTTTGTGATCTGCATTGGAGAATATAAATTATGATCCCTGTTTGAGTATTCCTGCCTTAGTTATTACTAAACAAAAATTGTTTTGCAGCAATCCTATGTGAATGGTAAGGTGGATGTTGACACACGCTCAGGTATTTTTCAAGTAATTTGAGTTGTGGATCATTTCAAATAGTTTTAATTTTATTGTCTTACAACAATGGAATTCTTTCCTATATGCAGTGAGATCTTCCTCACCACCCATCTCTGTGGAACCCCCTGCTCCACCTCACCCAAAGTCATATATGGAGGTAGTAATCCTCGTTTTCCTTTCCTTCTCGGAAATCCTTCTCATATAGTAATTTTAGTATTATATTCTGTCCTTGAGTATGGTCTCTTATTGGCTTCAGTTTTCATCATGCAACTTGGAAATTGGTTCTTATATTAGCATGTGAATAGGTACAATTGCCTGCATTTTTCTTTATTTTCCAGCATAATTGCCTGTGTTTATGTTATAATCAAAGCTAAGGTTTGTCACTGGTTGGGAGTCCTAAACTCCTAACTACTTGCATGGATCTGAAAGCATTGAACTTGCTGACATGATAATTATGATGCAGATCTTGGCAATGGTTCAGAGAGGGGAGAAACCTTCCAACATCAGAGTAAATTATATACCTGGCTTGTATTTTGACATCTGCTTGTTTGTTTGATAGTAAATGCTGACTCTGTTGTTTCTTATTCATATGCAGGAAATTGATGATCGACCTCCAAATCCTAGCCAGCAACCTTCAAATCCTCGCTTTGCACCAATACCTAAGGTGTGTTTATAATAGTTTTTCCTTCCCTTTACTATCATATTTTTCCTCACTACACTGATTGGCTTGCAAGTGGGAGTTTATTTGGGTGCTGTGCTGATTGTTGTTGTAAGCATGATTTTTGAAAATTTGGTGCATTCACCTACTCAATTTTGAGCGTTAGATAATTTGGCTATTTAAGAAACTTAAATCAATTTGCTGGCCATTGTATTTGTGACAATTTGTTGGTGCTTAGCCTTGGGGTTGTTTTATGCATTGGGAATCATGATGAAAGAAAAAGTAACGTTGAGGCACCCTGAGTTTACCCTAAATCTGAAATTGTATTTTCCCTTTTCCTGAGTAGCCTTGGGAGCTCAGTCAGGCCCAAAACGGCTCCAATCAACTACTGCAGTCACAAGGAGTCAGAGAAGCCTTGGATTACAAGGTACAAGTTAATGGGCTGAACTATTTAGAAGATGAGAGTTCAGTTCCTTGGGGGCAAAAGAAAAATGTCAGAATAACAGAGATTGCCAACGAAAATGAAGTCAAAACTGGAACTTCTGGTGTGAGAACCAGCGATCTAGTTCAGCGTGTGTGGGTTCCTCCCCAGCCACCCCCTGTGGCAATACCAGAAGCAGCTGAAGCCATTCGACGACCCAAGCCATCAGCTAAAGAAGCTGTGAAACAAGAAGAATTGGGTGAAAATCAATCAGTAACAGAGTCATCAGGTGTAACTGATGAGTTGCAGAGGATCACAAAGATATCTGAATCAGGAGGCACAGTAGAGATAAATGGTGGTGGGGTTTCAAGCCTGAACTCCAGTGAGATACAAGAAGAGCAAGAACACGGCCATGAGGGGAACTGAAGCATGAATAAAACTTGGGATACTTTCAAGGACGATAATAAGTGCTCTCAAACATTCTCTAATTATCAACTAGAAAAGCACTGTATTTTTAACTCTCCACCTGGACCAACAATTTGGAGTGTTATTATTATTTTTTTTCTTGTAACATAAAAATTAGAGACTAAATTTTATATCTGTGACTAAGAGAACATGTATAATTCTATTATCAGACTACATGACATGGCTGATGGTATAATTTAGACTCTTAAGAGTATGGTTGATCAAAGCCTTTATCCCATCGATTTGAGTCTCGTGAGCATCCTATGTTTAGGCTTAATCTAGCATAGCACAATTTCATATTCATAGCCAGCATCTATATTATGAGTCTCTAAGGCATGGGTAAGCTTAAGAGGTTATATATATATATGTATATATATTGAATAGGAGAAAGAAACTTAAGAGGTAGAGATTTTTTTTTCAAGTCGTTGTTGAGAATTGAATTTTTAATTAATTAAATTCAAATTCTTATGGTTTGAAGATGAATTATTGAATTCAAAGTACAGTGAGAGGTTGTCTTAATTAGAAATCTTTGCAAAAATTTCACACAACAACATAAAGAGCTGACAAACGGGACATTTTTGCATGAAATGTAGAAGTTTGTGATTTCCGTTCTCTACTTTTTGATTTGGACGCATGCCCTCCTAAGCTTTTCAAAACTAGTCAATTAAGTTCATTAATTTTTCCTTCTATCATTTTTATCCTTAAAATCTTAATTAATTTCATGCCATATTAGTCTATTTTTTAACCATTGTTACAATTTGCTACCTTAAAAATATTTATCGAAAGGTAATGTATAGTCTACCCATGTAGATTGCTTATCTTATAACTATTTAAAAATAATAAAATTTTAATATTAATATTATCCCTCTCTACTAATAATCATAAAATATATAATTTTGTCTGCAAAGTGCAAAGTCAACATTCAGTGGCTGTACAGTTGATTTTCATTATCATATAATTCATATTATTATTACTATATCCACGAATCACGATGTTTTATATTTGCAGGCATATTCTCTGAAGTGTAGGCCACCCTATGCCATCCCGATTCCTGTCCTTTGCGATAGTTGATAGACTAGTCTACCACAGTACTGCAGTGCACGTTCATCACACCGCACTCACAT